AGGCTGGAGCTTATAATAATGAAGCCCTTTCCTCAGGCCTTTACATTCATAAAGTTTGTCTCCTAAATGCATTAGCTGATGTTCAGTTAAGTTTGACTTTGAGAGGAAAGTCTTCCCAAATCCATCGTATCCATAAAGTTTCTCTCCATCCTGAATTATTTCGTGTCATCTCAGGTTTGAATGACATTCAAAGGCTTTCCCATCATCCTTACATCTTTGAGGCTTCTCTCCTGAATGAATTCAGTAATCTTCTTGCAAGCTTGACCTTCCAGGATCCCAGAATGCTCTGATGGCTTAAGCCTGGCCTTGAGTGTACTGCCTTCCCACAGGCAGCACATTTGTAAGGTTTCTGCCCTGTATGAATCCTCTGATGGGAAATAAGAGATGATACGTGCTTGAAGGCTTTCCTACATTCATCACATCCCTAAGATTTGTCTCCAGTATGGATTATTTCATGTATTTAGGACTGAGCAACAAACCAAGGCCTTCCCATCCTTTCCTGAAGCTACTCTCTGCTGCAGACCAGGGGGTTTGCCATAATCACTCCATTCATGGGCCTGCCTTCCCTTTTTACTCTGGGTGATTTTTATTTGTGGAGAACATCTCTCCTCATTGTTTCGCTGCTTCTCCAATCTGGAATCACATTTTCCCAACATAGAGACACCAGGAACATGTATTTCCTTTGATAATTCTTTCAGAGAAATGCCCAGATTTGGAGTGGAGTTCTTGGTTTCAGGCCTGGTCTCCTGATCTGTAAGAGAATAAAAGGGAAAATAAGCCGTTCCCTCTGCTGTAAACTTAGACTGCTCTCCTTGTTACCTCCACCAACAGAAATGGCCATCAGTCTTTGAGATCAAACAAATGAGTATGATCATCTGACAGCTGTATAGTCATTGATAATTTACAAAAACCTCCCAATACTCTTGTACGATGTGTGGGCCAGTTAGATTTTCCCAAATGAGGGAACTGAAGCTGTGGCCTTGTTCAGTGTCTCACAGCTGATGGTCAAAGTGAAGGCTGCTGCACAGTCATCGTGTCCAAGTTCACCACTCTTTTGACTGCTGCCACACTGCTTCTCCACGAAACACATCCAGCTTGTTCAAAGAAGCTGTAAAACACAGGATGGGGAACAATATCTAGAAATTATAGTGAGGTCGTGCTCAGCTCAACAGGGAAAAAAATATTTTGACAAAAAAAAAAGAAGTCTTACAACATCAAATAATGTTAAGGCTGAAAGTGACTTTTGTAATAATCTAGTCTACACCTCCATAATCATCTAATTTAGATCTTAACAATCTAGTCTAAACCTTCACAATAGTCTAGTCTAGACCTTCGTGACAATCTCGTCTAAACCACTCCTCCGGATCTTTATACAAGTTACTCCCATTCGCCTTGGGGGCACCCCAGTGCTCGGTCCTGAGCTCTCTTCTCTTCTCCCTCTGTATTGCCTCACTTGCTGATTTTATCAGCTCTCCCAATTCAGCTATAATCTCTGTGACAGTAATGGCCAGATCTATCTATAGCGAGGCCTGCCCCCCAACATGTAGAATGGAAATGTCTTTGTATGACTTGAAGAGAGGTAGAATAGACACTCCAGCCTGTTCTCCCACAGCCTTCTCTAAGGGAGGCTTTAATGTCTGCCAGAAGGAGAAGCTGCTGGTTTGGACCAGATGCTTGGTCACTCATCTCTTCTCAGAGAGGATTACCAGCCTAGACTTCTATCTATGGTCCCTTCAATGTTAGTCTAAGGGGTGTAGTTTTCATGTTTAATATAACTTTTCATCACTGTTTCATTAGTGGGGGAAGTAGGACCCCAAGCTTTATAGCCAAAGCTTGACACCCTTCTCATGAAATACCAGTTCCACAATGAACACATAGCAACTAGCAAAGAAACCTATTTATCCAAGTCCACAACAAACAGAAATCTGAGAAAATGCACATAGAAGAATACACAGAGTGAAGGAACTCTCCCATTGGGAGTGAGAGAGAGAGAGAGAGAGAGAGAGAGTTGTCATTCAAGCAGAAGCTCTCCAAAGTCTCTAGTAACAGCAAGCTGGCATAGGGATGTGGTGAAAAGACTGTTCCTCTCACATTGGTTTCTTCTCAGAGTCTTTTTGCAACCTGAAATGGGTTGGCATCTTCCATTTTCTCTCTTGAAGCTGGAAGCCAGAAGAGCCCAAAGCCTAAAAAGACTGAATCAGGTGAGGGCACTGAGCTCCATCAATCCCATACCAATGAGCTTTATGATGTGTGTGTGTGTGTGTGTGTGTGTGTCCCAGGTCCAGGAGTGGGGAACCTTGGGCCTTGGGGCCACATATGGCATTCCAGGTCCTTGGGTGCAACCTTTTCACTGAGTCCAAGTTTTACAGAACAAATCCTTTTATTAAGGGGATCTGGTCTGTGAAGTTTGGATTCAATCAAAGGGCCACACTTGAGGACCTAGAGGGCCACATGTGGCCTTGAGATTGCAGGTTCCCCACCCCTGCACCTAATCCCTCTCCTGAGGTAGTTTCACATCACCAAATGCCTTTTGGATATCTTGAACTGAATGTTACATGAGCATCTGAAACATGTTCAAAAGAGAGCCCAAACCCTCTCCTCTGCTGAACTGCCCTGTTCCTGTTTATAGTACCACCATCCTGCCAGCCAATCAGTCAGTAAGTATTCACTGAACACACACTCTGTGCCAGGCACCATGCAGAGTGCCAGGGATACGAAATGAAGCAAGAGTCCTTGCCCTCAAAGAGCTCACAACCTAACGAGGAAGACAACAGGCACACACGAACAGACGACACGTGGGACAGAGAGGAAATAAGGAACTGAAGAGACTAAAATGATGAGAAAAGGCTTCCCGGAGAAGATGGAATTTGAGTTGGAGCTCAAATGAAGCCAGGGAAGCCAGGAGGCAAAGCTGAAGGCACGGGTAATAGAAGACAAGTAGGAAGACAGCAAAAGCCAAGAGATGGAGTGTCTTTTCTGATGGAGTAGCAAGGTCAGTGTCACTGGTTCAAACAGTATGTGGTGGAGAGAGGCTGGAAAGGTAGTGTGGTTAGCTTATGAAGGGGTTTAAACGTTGAGGTGATAGGGAACCACTAGATTTTATTGAGCAGGGGAGTGAAATGGTTGAACCTGCGCTTTAGGAAAATCACTTTGGCATCTGCATGAAGGCTGGATTGGAGTGGGCAGAGGCTTGGGGCAGGCACTCACCAGCAAGCTACTGCAGTAGTCCAAGTGTAAGGGAATAAGGACTCCTACCATGGTAGAAGCAGCATCAGGGCAGAGAAGGCCGGGGGTGGGGGCTTTCCAAGAGATGTTGTGAAGGACTGGGAGGCAACAGATTGGATATGGGAGCGGAGGGTCATCCAGGCCTGCAACCTTGGCGTCATCCTCCACTCATTCATGGTCACCCCATTTATCCAATCCATGGCCAAATCTTGTTGTGACTTTCATAATGTAACCTGCATACATCTCTTTCTCTTTTTTATAGAGCACCACCACAACTCAAGCCTTCACCTTCCATCTGGACTAGGACAGTAGCCTCATCGGTTGGCCTGCCTCAAGCATTTCCCTCTTCCGATCCGTTCTCCACTCAGCTGCCAAGGGGATTGTTCTAAAATGTGTTACTGGCAATACCGCCCACTGCTCAGTGAGTTCTAATAGCAAATTATTGCCTCCAGAATCACATAGAAGTTCTCTGGCATGGTCTTCAAAACCTACTTTCTCCCAACCTCTTAGGCCTTCTTACACTTTAATCCCCTCCATATACTCTATATAATCTAGCTACACTGGCCTCCTCAATGTTCTATGCCGTTATACAAGCTCCCCCAAAGCTGGGAATGCTCTGTCCCCTCCCTCACCTCCACTTTCTAATTCCCCTGGCTTCTCCTAAGACTCGGGGAAGGAACCTTTCTTGGTTCCCTCAGGTGCTAGTGCATTCCTCTCTTATATCACTTTTCATAGATTCTGTTTTTTATCTTGTATGTACCTAATTATTTATATATTACAAATTACATATAATATTGTAAAATGTAATGTTTACATATTACAAATGTAATTATTTTCATACTGCCCCATTAGACCATAAGCTCCTTGAGGGCAGGGACTTGCCCTTTGCCTCTTTTTGCATCCCCCGCTTAGCACAGTGCCTGGCACACAGTAGGTGCTTAATAAATATTGCCTGATTTGTTGATAACATACCAGGCTCACTGGCTATCCTATTTTTCTTCCCCTCAGTGGGTGTGAAAACCAGAGTGGGAATTGGGGGGAGGGGGAGGGCGGGAGAGGAAGGACAGTGTTGGAGGGCTGGGACATTTCATTTCTACTGGGCAGTGATGCTGACTGGGCAGGTCACGCCGCCCTTCTGTCCCCCCCCCCAGAAGGCCAGCACCTCGGAGGCAGGGCCTTTCCCATGTCTTTGTGCCTCCTAAGGCCTAGCACAGTGTGGGTAGTTCGCAAAGGCCTGCAGACTGACAGATCAGGGAGGGGCCGCTCCTTCCCCTGCCCAGGCTGCCACGGCCATCTCTGTACACGTGTGCACTGGTGCCCGGGTGGTACAGTGGGCAGAGCGCAGGACCTGGAGCCGGGGAGGCCTGGATTCGGTCTCTGATGCTTCCCAGCTGGGTGACCTTGGGCAAGTCACTTAAGCTCCGTGCCTCGGTGCTCAGCAAGCCTAACGCACTGTGGATGCTGGCTTCGGAGGAATCGGGGGATGCTCCGGCGGTGCTGGGTGCCCCTAGTCGGGCAGGGGGAAAGTGAGGCCATGGGGGTGTCACGGTGGGAAGCTGCGAGGGGCCTCCGGACGCAGACCCTGCGGAGGGACGGCCCCGGCACCCGGAGCGGCTTCGCAATCTCCCCTTGCCCACGCCGGTTGAGGCAGACCAGGACACGTGCCCGCTGGCCCCCGCGGGCCGCCGCAGGCCACTACGCACGCGCGCCAACCCCTGCCGAACGCGGCACTACATTTCCCAGAAGGCCTTGCCCAGGCAGCGGCGGACACGTCACTTCCGTTTCTTCTCGGACAGCCTCTCCTCCCGGAAGTCAAGTCCCCCAGGCAGTCTTTGGACCGTGGCGAGCCAGAGCCGGAGCCAGATTCTTGCGTCCTGAGGTGAAGCAGGGCCGGCCTGGCCGGAGGTTGGTCTGAACGACTCCCCGCCCAGCTTTGTTTCCAGGCTGTGGCCTCTTGCCCCAGACTGAACGTCCTTCCCTCTTTCCCGGTAGTTTCCGTGCTCGGGGAAGGGGCAGGTCCAGCCGGCACGCTTGCGCAGTGACCCTCAGTCGGCCCTGCCCGTGGCCACGCCCCCACCGGAGCCGTCCCTATTGGGCAGCGTGAGAGGAGGCAGGGCTAACAGAACTCTAATCCAATCCGAGGCAGAGAGATGGGCGTGGCCCTAGACTCCTCGTTCTGAGCCAATCACGGGGGCCGCTCGTGACCCGCCCTCTCCCATGTGCTGGGGGGGCGGGGCTCTGGAGCTTGGACCTTGATGGCCTGGGCCCTGGCACCCAGGCCAACTCCAGGGGCGGCTGGGCGCCTGTGCCCGGCCAGGCTGGGGAACCTGCGGGGGCCAGGGCTGCTGGGCCCTCCCTCCCGTCCCCCTCCATGTCTTGGCTACGCTGGCCCGGGCCGTGTCCAGGCTGCCCCACTTACCAGGGGCTGTGCCCCTCCTCCCCATGCAATGCCCCGATGCCCACCTCCCTTCCTTCCAAACCAGGGGTTCTTCACCCGGGGTCCATGCGTCTCCAAGGGAGTCTCAGGAGAGATGTCAGGGGGTCCTCGAACTTGGAAGGGGGGGGTTATTTCCCACTAGCTCCTAACAGAAATTTAGCATTTCCTTTTTTATTTGTTAACGTCATTCTTAAAAGGGTGGAGGGCTTCACCAGTCTGCCACGAAAAAGGCCCAGAGACTCAGCCCTCAACTGGCTACCAAGCTGCCGCCCTAATACTCAGGATCCATAAGATCTGACCGTGTCACCCCCTTCTTCAAAAAACCTTCAAGGCTTCCCAGGATGGGGTCAAGTACAAACCCCTTGTGCCGCATTTCAGGCTCTCCACAGTCTGTCTCCAGTCCACCCATCCAGCCTGGTTTTTCATCCCTCTTCTCCCCTTAGCCTGCACTTCCAGCTTGGTCGGAAGCTCCCTAAACTCCGTTTTCTAGCCTCTGAAGTTAAAATTGAATCCCTACTTCTTGGAGTCTCCTCCCTTCATACCTCTGCCACTCCAAGTCTTCATCTTTCAAGGCTCAGTCTGCGCTGAGAAATCTTCCCTGTTGTTAGTGCCCTGTCCCTCCCCGGCTGGTCTCATCTTTGCTTGTATGTGTACATGATGGAGACCCCAGCTGAATGTGACTAGGAGGGCGGGGACTGTTCTTTGGTGTTTGTTCCCTGGTTCCCAGAACACTGCCTTGCCTAGACAAGACGCACGTATTATTTATTGAATGCTGGCAATGCGCGTGGGTTTCCTCCGACCTCCGTCTCTGCCCTGCGTTTGTGGTGCCAGTGAGGCACAGGCACACTCATGCTTTCCTTTTCCCCTCAGGCCTGTCATTTGAGAACTCTGCTCTTCCAGGACAGGAGGGAACATTGTGGATTCGGAGGAGGCCATGGCCCCTGTGCTCCTCGAAGCCACAGTTCCCCAGGTGAGTGGGAGGTTCCACTTTCTTCAAAAGCTGTCTCTGGCCTAAAAGTCGGTTTGTGTCCTCTAACACAGGGGTCTGTGTGATGTTCTCTGTAAAGAATTCTTCCCATTTGACTTGTGTCTCTCACTAATGCGTTCAGGGATTCACCCATTCTGAACAGCATTTGGGCCTACTCTAGGTCCAGCATAAAATTTATTTTGATGCAGGGTGCAAAATAAGCTATACTGTCCTAATAACTAGGATACAGAGCACACTTTTAAGAAACAGTATACTTTAAAAGAAACAATTAAGTAATCTGATTTCTAATTAGAGGAAAGATTAGGGACTTTCCAAGTTAGGAGGGGGAGGGTCAACAGGTGAAATGTCCTGAAATCAGAAAAGGAGGTGTCTCACTCCCTCCAAGTGTCTGTATTCAAAGGAACATGGAAATAATAACAGACTGACCAGTATGGGGCCAGTTTTCAGATAAGACAAATGAGTTGCTTGAGATGCACAATTGTGAGAAAACTCCTTGCATCAGTCTTTGGATCTGATCAGGTTTCTGGTCAGCATAACCGAGGTCCTTAGTTATGGACAGCAGGTAGACATGGTCCAGTTTTCCAGCCCTGCAGGGCTAAGTTCAAGCAATGCAATAAGATTTTCTCCTAGTTCCCACTTGAATAAAATTTTCTCACAAGACAGAAATTGGAGTAGACCTGTAATTGAATAGAAAGGAAACTGAGCTTGCTCCAGAATTGAGTCACAAGAGGGAGTCAGTGGTGTTCACTCAATTCCCATAATTATCCACTTGCCGTCCTAATCCTCGCAATTCTCTCAACAACTACTAAGTGTCTGAGACTGGATTTGGACTCAGGAAGATGAGTCTTCCTGACTCCAGGCCCAGTAGTCCCAATGTCCATCTTACAAATGAGGAAAATAAAGTTCAAAAGTAGAAATGGGGCACTCGGGGGGCCTAGAATGCACAGGTTGCTGGGCCTGAAGGCAGAAGGGGCTAATTCCTTGTGATGCCTCTAGGGGGAGCCAGAGTGCCCAGAGCATGGAACTTGGTGTCACGAAAACCTGAGTTGAAATCCAGCCTCAGACACTTACTAGCTCTGTGGCCCTGGACAAGTCACTTAACCTCTGTCTGCTTCAGTTTTCTCATCTGTAAAATGGGGATAATAATAGCACCTATGCCCCAGGGTTGTTGTGAGGATCAGATGAGGTGATAATTGTAAATGCTTAGCACAGGGCCTGGCACGAGGTGGGCACTATATAAATGTTAGCTCTCATTATCATAAATGATTTTCCTAGGACCATTGTTGTGACAGCTAGGACTCCAAGGAGTTTTTAAGGCCTTGACGAGCTGATAAGTAAGAGATGGGCAGGCCAGAACGTCGGCCTGCACATAGTAAGGGGAGACTGTCCCTCCGCCGTACAAGCTGGGGGTGCCGTGGTGAGGGGGCAGTGAACACTGAAGCAAGTGTGAGTGCAGCATGCCAGTGTCCAGAAGTGGAGAGGGGATGGTCTGGCTGGGCTTTCCGCGTCTGGCGTCGGGGGCTCAGTTTTGGACACTGTATTAATAAGTTAGAGGGCGTCCAAAGAAGGGTGTCCAGGAGATGTTAGTCATTGACTTGTCGAGGACCCTTTGGAATCCTGGCTCCAACCTGCAACATCTGTGTAATCCTCAGCAGTCGCTCCCCTTTGCCCCTTGTTTTCCTCATCTGTAAAATGGAGATCATAGACCTTGCATTCCCGTCCTGTAAGATTGTGAGAGGAAAGTGCTTTGTACATGTGAGAGCACGGTCAGGACATTTGCTATTCTTTTTGGTTGTTGTTGCTTAGCCGCTTTTCAATCCTGTCTAGCTCTCCGTGACCCCATTTGGGGTTTTCTTGGCAGAGATGCTGGACGGGTTTGCCATTTCCTTCTCTAGCTCTTTTTACGGATGAGGACACTGAGGCCAACAGGATTAAGTGACTTGCCCAGGATCACACAGCCATTAAGTGTCTGAGCCCAGGTTTGAACTCGGGTTTTCCTGACCCCAGGCCCAGTGCTCCATCCACTGCGCCACCCCACTGCACCTGCTCTTCTTTACTGTCAGCACGATTGTTTTTCATACTTCCCGGCCTCAGCCTGGTGAAGGGCCTCACAGTCTAAGCCAAGAGGCCTGAGGGAAGCCTGGTGAGCGTCTTCGGGGCCCTGAAGGACTCTCTTCTGGAGGTTAGGGGAGGTCAGCCCTGTTGTGGTCAGTCCCGGGGGACAGAACTAGGAGTGGGTGGGGCAGGTGGTCAGGAAGGGAAATGGGCTGCCTTAAGAGGCCTGGGGGTGAGGCGGAGGAGGGGCAGTCCCCTTTGCTGGGCCGGGCTCAGTGGCCTGTTCACCGTGGAGCTTTGGGGATTCTGGGGAGAAGAGGCCACAGGCTTCCTCCTGCCTCCAGGGTCTTCCTCTCAGACCCAGGATAGAAAGTCTTCCTGTTGCCTGTCGGTTGTCTCCAGCACTCCTAGTAGCGAGTGCTCTCCAGCACTTGATACGGCGGGGTGGGGAGCCTGCAGCCGTCAGGCCACTGTGGTCTTTTTGTCGCAGGCTCCCCCCCCCGGATTAGCACACTTGATCTTCACCACAACCCTGGGAGCTAAGTGTTCTTCTTATCCTCATGTTACAGATGAGGAAACTGAGGCTGAGTTCAGTGACTTGCTCAGTGTTCAGGGCAGGATTTGAACTGAGGCCTTCCTGGCGGCTAGGCCAGCACTATTCACTCTGTAACACTGCCTCTTCAGCTAGGTGGCCAAGTGGATAGAGTGCTGGGCCTGGAGTTAGGAAACCTCTGAGTTCAAATTCTACCGCAGAAACTTCCTAGCTGTGGGATTCTGGGTAAATCTCTCAACTTCGCTTTGTCTCTTTCTGGAGTTGGGGTGGTGTTTGTACTAGGTGACTCTTGGTCCCTTTGGGCTTGTAACTCGGTGATCCAGGGATCCCCAGTGCCTTGCACATAGGAGGTGCTGAAGAAATGTTCATACAGCTGAATTAAGTCAGGAGGGGAGGGGAGTTTGGAGACAGAAATGAATTCCTGTAGGACAAATGTTTCCTCTTTCGTAATTTTGGTATGTAAAAGTTTTGCAAAGTTGTGTAAGCATTCATAGTCATTATTACAAGACATACAGCTTTTTGGCCAAACTGAAATGTATGTGCTTTTCAGGAATGGGTGACGTTCAAGGATGTGGCTGTGGATTTCACTGCGGAGGAATGGGGACACCTCAGTCTCTCCCAGAAAGAGCTCTACAGGGATGTGATGCTGGAGAACTTTAGGAACCTGGTGTGTCTGGGTGAGGACACTTCCCCTGCTTGGCCCTGGGCTGGAAGAGCCTTTCCTTCCTTTCAGTACATGATGTAAGGGTCTTAAAGGTTGAGCTTATCGTCTGGCCGAAAAGACCAGGTATCAGTAACCTTTTGTGGCCAACACCCAAGGCTCTGGTGCCTCCATTCCCAAATGGAAGGACCTTGATTTGGTCAGCTGGAATTGGTAGTCGACTGACTTTGTGCCCTTGGGCCTCCCTCCTCTCCTGTCTTCACATCCCAGGGCAGAGGCTGGAGGACATGAAAGGATCCCGTCCTCTCTGGGTCATTCGATCATGGATTTAGGGCTAGAAAGGTCCTTCAGGGTCATCCAGAACAACCGCCTCATTTTTCAGTTGAGGAAGTGTAGGCTTTCATAGCAGTAAAGATGTCAAATTCATTTTCTTTCTGTGACCCATTCCTCCACACTTTTTAGAGACACAGTATAGATCATCTTCCCAAGAGTTTTTATACCACTCATTGAGTTTTCCCAAATGTTCACTTTCTCCCAAAGATAGAGGGGGTTAGAGATGGAATTAGGGTGGAAGAGTTCAATCTTTCTGTCCCAATACTTTTTATTACTTCTTGACCAAAACTTATAGGAATAAGATAAATTTGGGGGGAGTGCTGTTTATGGACTTCTGACGCATGGCTAGTAAATTAATTTTGGGTGGTTAGAAGGGAAAGTCTCACATGGGAGTCACTGTAAGAAACATTTTCCAATGAGCAGGGCTTGCTGTGTCCAAACCAGATGTGATCTCCCAGCTAGAGCAAGGGGAAGCACCTTGGATGCCAGAGGGAGAAGGCCTGAGATGCAGGTGTGCAGGTGAGTGAGGGGCACCAGCAGGTGAGGCTTGACCAATGACAGCTCAGCTGGGCCCTCCAGGGGAATCACAGGAGGCCTTCCCACAGCTTCCGGTTGGCCTGAACAGGCCACTTCGCCCTTTTCCCACTCCTGCGTTCCTCAAGGCTCAGTAGGGAGGAGGTCTTTCTCTTCCACCCTGACTTTGGGTTATTCATCTTCAGCAGCCAATTAAGACCATGTTGCTGAAAGTTTTTGGAAAGAGCCCTGTAACCTGTGTGACCCTTTGGATGTTGTGTTCTTTGCTCAGCCTCCGTGGCAAGCTCCCCACATTCCGTTGGTTTCTTCTGAAATGACCATTCCACGCTTCAGACTCCCCTCCCCACTTCCCACCAAGATGATACAGACTCCCAGCTCTACCAGTAAAGGTCATTAGTTTCTCCAAAGCTGGCATGAATTCGAGGCCCTTCACTGTTCTGGTTGTCCTCCTCTGTCTCCTCTCCACTTTTCTGATACCCTGCCTTAAACTGTGTATTCATTCTTGATCCTCTGCCTTCTCGACATGTCTTTGTAAAGTCCAGGTTGGTCATCTTGGAAAGTGCTTCCTTTTCCTCCCATTAGAAATATATCTCTTTGCGGGCTTCAGTCCGTTCTCAGGGCATTGTTTTTCCTCTTCATCTGATTTCCCTCGGAGCATTTTAATTCGTAGCACTTTTGCTAACCTTCCTTCAAGCCTTTGCAATCTCACCTGAAATCACGGCTGTGTAGCAGACCATGCTCAGCTTTCTTTTCCTGCCCTGTAACAGATGTCCTGATGGAGTTGCTTCTTCTCCAAGGTTCCCATTATTTACACCCCAGCTACCAGTTCCTTCTCATTGGTAAGCATCAGATCCATTATGGCAGTTGCTCCTTTCTGGTTCCTTTACACTTTGTTGGATGACATGCACAGTAAAGAAAGACAAGAAATCATTAGCTCCTCTGCTTTGGTAATTGAGAATGTTTCAGGGATTGTCTAGATACTTCAAGTCCCCTAGGATCCCTGTATCATGATTCTGGGCCAGGCTTGTGATTTATTTTCTCTAAATACATTTCCTGTTTCTGTCCAGATTTAGCATATCAGAGTGAAACTATCACATCTGTTTCTGTCTCCTTCCTTTTCTCTTAATATAGAACATGTGTGTTTCCAGTTGTGGTCATGCCATTTGCTTTGATTTAGATTTTTTTTTTTGGAGAAGAACTTTCTAGGGGGTTTAGTTTGTTGTTTCTTTGGATGCTTTCATTGAATAATGATAAATTGTTTTAAAAAATCAACTCTCCCAGCCTCTCCTCCCTAAAAAAAAAGAGGGAGAAAACCAGGGTAGTGGTATGAGGATGATGATGATATAAGTAGATCATGTTGGGTGGCCTGGAAGGAGAAATAAGAGGCCAGCTAAGACTGTCTTATACTTCAGTGACAGATCATAAGGCCTAGCTTCTGATCCCAGATATCCCAGACAGTCTCCATTAAGCTTTGGATTTCTTTTTTCCCCTTGTGTTTTCCATCGAGCTCAATTTGTTTTCTTGAGTCTCTTCCTCTGGTACTTCTCTCTGTCTTTCCTCCTTCCTCAGATCTCCCTAGTCTTTGGGTTTGGAATGTATTTTCTCTGCTGCTTCCCTTGCCCTCACACCCCCAAGCATCACCGCGTCTACATTCACTGTAGGTAGCAATCTGACATCTGAGAACTCTTTTTAATTATGAGTTTTAATCTCTTTGTTCCATGTAAAGGTATGCTCTTTGTAGGTATTGTCCTTAGCTTCCTTTTTCCATAAAAATACTAGAAGTTAGGGTTAGTGATCTGTGGTTTAATGAAATAGGATGATTACTTTATAGTTTTGGAAATATAATAATCCTTAGTTAATCTCCCTTTAAATTTACCGTTTGTACTTGTGACTTTACTTATTGAGTTCCCTGAGGTAGACATGTGACATGGAGCCTCTCCAGAATACAGAAGGAGGTAGCTCTGATATCTGGAATCAACCTGAGCCCTGGTATGTCTTCCCTGGCCTCAGGTGGGTGTCTGATAAATAAGAGAGATCTGGAGTCCTAGAATCCTAGGGTTATAAGGAAAGTGTGGAAATCCTTCTTTCAATGCAGAAAGTTGCAGATCACCTCTAAGTGACGTTCATCCAGCCTTTGCTTAAATATTCTCACGTACAATATGTTTATTCCATTGTGGGGAGATAATATTGTAGAGGAAAGAACATTGGGCTCGAAATTACGTTCAGTTACTACCTTAGCTATTAATTAGTCATATGACCTTGGGCAAGTTACTGACTCACTCTGAGCCTAAATTTCCTCATCTGGAGAATATAATAATTCATATATTTCTTTCACAGTGTTTTTGTAAGGATTTAAGTAGTACCTATTATGTGCCAAGTACCATGCTAAGCACTGGAGATACAAAGAAAGGCAAAAATAGTCTCTGCCCCTCAAGGAGCTTACAGTCTTACGGAGGAGACAACATTCAAACAGCTATGTACATACAAATAGAGATGAGTGATATAAACTAGAGATAATCCCAGAGAGAAGACATGAGTAGTAAGGGTGACTGTGAAAGGCTTCTTGCGCAACATGGGATTTTAGCGGGGACCTGAAGGAAGCCAGGAGGCAGGGGTAAGAAAGGAGAGCAGTCCAGGCAGGGGTACAGTCAGAGAAAATGCACAGAGCCAAGAGAGGGAGTGTCTGGTGCCGCGTCCTAACGGTCACTGTGTAAGCCTTTTACAAACTACAAGTGACTCTATTAAGATAGAGTGGAATATTTGTCCTACATTTTTCTAGATGGTGAGGTCAGAAATAAGAGAGTCTGCATGTGACATTTGCATGTCTTTTTCAGATTGGGAAACGAGAATTGAAAACAAAGAGCTATCTCCGGGGTTGGATATTTTTATGGAAGATTCATCCCAGAAAATGCTCACAAAGGATTGTCCCTGTGTCCCCAAAGTGGAAGAAGCCTGGAAGTATGATGTCTGGTTGGAAAAGGAGCAGAGAAATGAAGAGGGACATCTCCAGCAATTAAAGATCAATTCGAAGGATCCTCCCAACAAGAGAAGAGGCCAGGAATGTATTAAATGTGGCCACTGCTTCAGTCTAAGGCCAATCCTTTTTCCACAGGGAGTTTCTGTAGGAAAGATTCTCTATCAGTGTAACAGCTTTTATTCAGACCTGAGTAAAGGTCAGCAGATCTGTTTAGAGAAGAGAGTTTGTAAGTATGGTGAATGTGAGAAATCCCCCATTTACCACTCTGACTTCATTGAGTACCGACCAACCCCTGGAGAGAAAGCTGATGAATCCACTAAATACAGGAGAGCCTTTTACAGCAGCTCACTCATTCCTTCCCTTCAGGCAGTGCAGACAAGAGAGAATCTGTATGAATGTCTGCAATGTGGTAAAGGCTTTCGTCGGAGCACGCATCTTATTCGACATCAAACAATTCACACTGGAGAGAAACCATACAGATGTGATGAATGTGGGAAGGCCTTCCGACAGAGTGCACAGCTTACCCGACATCAGAGAATTCATAGTGGAGAGAAACCTTATGAATGTGCTGAATGTGGCAAGGCCTTCAAACACAGCTCATCTCTCGCTTCCCATCAGAGAATTCATAGTGGAGAGAAACCTTATGAGTGTAATGAATGTGGCAAGGCCTTCCGTGAGAGCTCACACCTTACACGGCATCAGAGAATTCATACTGGAGAAAAACCTTATGCGTGTAATGAATGTGGGAAGGCTTTTAGCCGGAGCACTGAACTTACACGACATCAGACAGTTCACACTGGAGAGAAACCTTTTGAATGTAATGAATGTGGGAGAGCCTTCCCTCAGAGGACACAGCTTACTCAACACCAAAGAATTCATACTGGGGAGAAACCTTATGAATGCACTGAATGTGGGAAGGCCTTTTGTCTGAGCTTACAGCTTAACCGACATCAGCGGCTTCATACTGGAGAGAAACATTATGAATGTAGTGAATGTGGGAAGGCCTTCAACTACAGCTCATCCCTTTCTTACCATCGAAGAATTCATACCAGAGAGAAACCGTATGAATGTAGTGACTGTGGGAAGGCCTTCAATCGCAGCTCATCCCTTGCTTCTCATCAAAGAATTCATACTGGAGAGAAACCTTATGAATGTAATGTGTGTGGTAAGGCCTTCTGCCAGAGCACACAACTTACTCGCCATCAGAGAGTTCATATTGGGGGAAAGCCTCATGAATGTAATAAATATGGAAAGACTTTTAGCCAGAGCACACAACTTGCTGAGCACCAGGTAATTCATATTGGAGAGAAACCTTTTAAGTGTACTGAATGATGGTAAATCTTTGGCAAAGCAAACATCCACCACCAGGTACTTAACGCTGGAAAGAGAAGCTTTTTTTTAATGAACAAAACTATGTGCAAAGCCCTTCAGCCTGAGCACAGACCTTAATATGTCATTTCAGAGAGTTTATGCTAGCGAGAAGGCTTACAAAGCTCATGTTTCCCCCACTGAACCACACAAAATCCACTCCTCCCTCAGGCCATCTTAGTGGACACTTGCTTTGGACTTTCAACCTGCAAAGAATAAATGCTCTACTCCATAACCTTCTCAGGGATACTTATATTCACCCAAATTAGTTGACATGTAGTATGGAGGTAATGTTTTGGGTCAGAAAGCTATTATGTGTATAATCCATGAATATAGGCATATACTTATGTTATTATTACTAATTTATCTCAGCCTGATCATGTGACACTGGTATTCACATGGTAACCCCCATATACGCTGGATAATTAGGAAGAGAATTTCTCATTTTTGTTAAAATCTCAGGTAGCCACACCAGTGTCATGCAGGCAGCATGATGGAACATTATGATTCCATTTTCTTTGGGCAAGGGGCAGGAAAAGAGAAATTTGGAGCCTCCTGTTTCCCTTCTAGGAGTAAGCATCTCTCCTCAGAACGACCTGCATTGTCACTGAGGAAGAATGTTTTGCAGTTTTAGGAATGCAGAGGCCAGCTGGCCAGCAGGTTAACAAGATGAGTGTGTCTGATCATCAGCAACCATCAGGCCAGCTGAGGAAGGACAGATCCATTTCTATCCTTTATAAACAATTGATTTGGGGACACGCTTTTCAAGTTTAATTTGCACTATTAACATTTTCTCTATCACTTTCTCAAGTCTAGACAATCAACAAAATAATAAATCAAGCCCAGATTTATAGCATTTACAGGTTTCTGAGGTGTACGTGCTCACGCTGAAAGTCTAACACCATTCCTATCCTCAGGCTTTGCTGTACCAGATTGGTGACGATTACCCTTCTGATTCATCCTTGAGATTCCTAGACAGCTGCCTCCTCCTCCCCGCCCCCTCCCCCCTCCCCCATCTGAGAATGGTGAGCAGAACTTCTGTTCGGGGTTTTTTCTCCCTCTTAGTCCGCCTCTTGGCTTTCAGAAGGAGCGTTATTCAGAGAGCCATAGCTGACACTGTTTCAAGGTATCCAGAGTGGTTTTATGAGCTTCACTGGAGGCTCAGAGCAGTCCAGAGAGAGAAGTCTGCACATACCCCCATTTTATAGATGAGGAAACAGGATTAGATGGGCTAAATGCCTGGCCCGTGCTCACACAACTAGTAGGGATTGACTAGTAGATAGGCTTTGGGCCCAGATCTTGCCGACTCGAGTCCAGAACCTCGCTGCCTCTCAGAACAGCAGGTGTTTTCTTGGATTGGACAATGCAGTTGAAGGAGCCAGCCCTATCCTGGGAGTTTGCTTGCAGTTAGAGACAGGGTTTGTTTATTTGTTTTCATGACATGATGTTGCTACTCTGATGCTGGAAGTGCGGCAGTGCACTCTCTATTTCTGCTAATCGCGCCCCAGGTCTTCCTCTTAAGGGGCTTGGCAACAGCACTGGGCTAAATGCTGGGAATATGAAAACAAGTCAGATAGTCCCTGCTCTCAGGGACCTTCCATTCTAGTGAGTGAAGACAACACATAAAAGGGACTGAATGAGTTTAACGTGGAGGTGGGACGCCTTCTTCCTCACCTCACCCATCTAATCTGTCGCCAAGTCCTATCATTTCTACCCCCTCCCTGGTTGAGGTCTTCATTTCTTCTTGCCTGTGCTTAGAACAGCAGACATGCATGGCTGCCCCTCTTGTTCATGTCTTCCCATAAGCTGGTGGGGGTGGGGCGGGGGGTCCACTTAGCATACTGGAAGCCTTCTTCAATTTCTCTTGGGAAGTCAAGGATACCAGTGGAGAACTCCAGCTGTCCACCTGTCATCTCTTATGATGTGACCAACCACTCTTCCATCATATGATTCTTTGATATATTTTCTTTCCGTTTCTTGGAAGCCCTCATTGGTTACATGTTACGGGCTGTTCACACCCACTCTGAACCTCTCTATTGCCCCTTGTGTGATATTCGTTATTAATTATTCAGTCTGTGATCTTCCATGCCATATTATCACCAACACCAGTAGAATGTTGGTATTAATAAGATGGGCCCTGGTTTCTATGGATGCTTGGAGTCATTAAAAATATTTCTCAATTTCTCATAGTCAACCCAACCTCTCTCATCTCTTGGTCCAAATCATCCATCATCCATATCCCTGATAAATGTGCCAATGGAAAGCTCTATAGGTTGTCCATCCAAATACAGGCTATAATCTGGAGAATAGACATTCGTCCACTTGTTTTTTCCTATGTGGATGGTCAAACCAAACTCCTTTGAGTGATTACAGGTCTTTTCCTGGAGCCTGCAAAGTTCCCAGGCTCGATGCAGCTAGCACAATGTTAGCCACAAACGGGCATTTACAGGACCTCACCATCTACAGAGAATCCTACCTCTTCTTGGATGCCATGATGGATTTCCATCACAGTGGCAAATAGCTATGATGAGCAGATACCTCCCTGATTTATGCCTCTCCTGCCAGCAAAACTCCAAAGCATGGCCTGTACCAGCTTAAAATATAATTGGGAAATGTTTAACAAAAATAAAAATACAATGCAATATAGATAATTTATGATTCTTTAAATCATTATACTCCTCCAAACTATGTAAGTTTGACACCACTGGTCTAGACCCTCTAAGGTCATTTGGAGATCATTGGAATGAGGAATGTGAACAAACTTTAGAGAGTGGGTCAGCTGACTCCTGCATGCTTTGTTGGCCTGTGCAGACCCAAGCAAGCCATTAGTGCTGCATGCTTGTGCTCACTTAGGAGACGTGGGATCTGTATCCAGAGAATGCTGGTCACCAGAAATCTGTTGTGTTTTCCAGCTGAGGAGTTAAAGATCCCGAGGCTCAGTATTCACACACAAACCGGTGTTCTTGATTCTGAAGTGGGCTGTCACTGACAAGTTCCAAGACTGTGGCTATGGAGGCAGATTTTGCGTGTGGTTGGAAGACAGTCTACTGATGAGTATTTTCATCATTATTATAAACTTGGATATTTCCTGCCAGAGTTGGACAGAAGCAATAGATAGGTATGAGTTCAGCACATTCTGTTGGCTAGGAAAAACTACCGTAGATGCAGGTACGCTGTGCTGTGGGTCACGTGACACTGAAACTGTAGTTGTTCAGCCGCTTTCAGTCATGTCCAACTCTCCGTGGCCCCATTTGGGGTTTTCTTGACAGATGCTGGAATGGTTTGCCATTTCCTTCTCCAGCTCATTGTACAGTGAGGAAACTGAAGCAAACAAGGTGAAGTGACGTACTTAGGGTTACACAGCTAGTAAGCGTCTGGGGCCAGATTCGAACTGGGGAAGAGGAGTCTCTGCCCACTGCACCACCTAGCTGCCACAGAAACTGTGGTGATAGCCGTAGAAAGAGAAGGATCTGGGAATATGTGTGGTGGGAGAGGTGAGGCAAATGGAAGTGTAGCCAAGAATCTGGGACTTCTGCCAAAAAGCATGTCACTAGGGTCTGGAACTTTCACTCGGCCAGTCAGTGAGCATCTGTTAAGTGCCTGGCACTATGTGTCAGGCACTATGCTAAGCACTGAAGACACAAAGGAAGGCAAAAGACAGTCCCTGCCTTCAAGGAGCTGCTGGTCTTTGTGGTACTGAAGCAATCCTCCTTGCGTCAGTTGTCTTTGGATGACTGGTGTTTAGAATAGATACATGAGGGGCAGCTAGGTGGTGCAGTGGATAGAGCACCGGCCCTGAAGTCAGGAGGACCCGAGTTCAAAACTGGCCTCAGACCAAACACTTGACACTTACTAGCTGTGTGACCTTGGGCAAGTCACTTAACCCCAATTGCCTTACAAAAAAAAAAAGAAAAAAGAAAAAAAGAGAAAAAGAATAGATACATGAGGAAGGACTGAAAGTTGATACAAGCCAAAATGAGACACGGAAGAATTCAAATTTCTTTCGCTGGAGGGCACCTTACCACTGAGCCAATGGCAGAAGTTGGAGCTGGGCGGTGGTGTGCAGTGCCAGACCACGATGGATCCCAGACTAACCACCAGGAAGCTGTTGGTGGCTTCCCTAGTCATTTTGCCTATGGCCCCAGAAGTACTCCATTATGATTTTGGACATTTAGGTCCAGAAAGGACACTTGAACTAGTGAGAAAGAGATTTTTTTTCTGGTCCCAAATGGCAGTGGATATTTGTGTCCAAGTTGTGCTTGATGTGTTCAAAGGAAAGTGAGGCCAATTGCTGCTGCGTACTAGGAGAGCGTAAACGTCAATAAGCCTTCGGATCTGGGGTGCGCTGACTTTGTCTTTGGAAGAACACAGGTCGTATCTTGGAAGTTACTGACCATTTACCTGGGGGGTCCAGCCATCCCCAACCAGGAACCAGCCAGCTCCTGCATTTTGCTAAAGAGTTGGGGGAAAATATAGGGTGTTCCCAAAGTCGTGATGATATTTCTTAGACTGTGGTTTCCCAGCCGTGTTTCTCTCTGAAGAAGATAAGAGATTTTGAAAGTAAACAACTCAGGGAAATGATCATTTTGATGGGAGTCAAGAAGTCTAGTACCTGATCTTATCACCCTCAGGGAGACCGTTCCCCATTCTGATCCTTTTGACCACCCGCTGCTGAAATGTGATAGACTTTGAAGCCAGAGCAGAAACCTCAGTGGAGTTGAGCTAGTATTTCTGAAGCATGTATACAACACTAGTGGGAAGAATGCCACTGGCTTTATCCCATCCTTCCTGATGTTTGGGTGGGAGCCATGTTTACCTATTGATTTGTGCTTTTAAAATGCTATGTTATTTTCCAGCCAAACTAGGAAAAGCCGCCCATGCTCATTGCCTCTCCTTCTACTCTTTCCTCAACTCTTTGAAATCTGGCTTCTGACCTCATCACTCCATTGAAATAGCTCTCTACAAAGTTACTAATGACCTCGTGTTTTCTTTACCCTAATACTCATCAACCAGTTTGTGGTTGCATTTGACACTCATCTTCTCCAAGGCTTTCTCTC